TTTCTAATAGTTGAAAAAAAATTATTGATTAAAGATAGAAAAATGATACAAGTACAATTTTTATTGTACAGTTTTTATATAATATAATTTTAGATGTCATTTAATTATTAACTCTTTTTACTCTATTAAAACTTATAACATTGTATATATATATATCTACTCATTTAATGACATATAAAAGTTATACTTCATTTGTTCAACTTGAGTAGATTTAATTTAATTTCTAATTTAAAACGTTCAAATTTAGTTTCAATTTTCCTTTTTAGATATTATTTAATGTACTTATTCTTATTGTAATTTTATTTGAAAAAAAAATAATTACAACATAAATTAAATAAAAAAACTTATTTAAGTTGTGGAAATTTAAGTAAAAATACTCAACAAGCTACATATAGAAAAAAATTTAATTATCATTTATTTACTATATAAATTCATATGATCAAATTTTATATAAAAATCAAATTAAGACAAGTAAATCTTATTGGATGGAAAAATTAATTAAGATTAATCAAGTTAATTAATTATTACCAATTAAAAGAATGAGGTTTGGCGGGCATTGGGCCCAGCCCATTTATCCCCTTCCATTCTTTTTCTTAATGGCCCAAAGCTAACAAAATGGCCCGCCCAAAAGAAAAGGAAAAGGACAGAAAGAGAAAAAAAAATTCCGGCAACATTCCCAGAATTGAAATTTGATTCTAACATTCAAAAGTGCAATGATTTTGTTGGGCCAAATTTGGGCTTCAAAGTTAGGAGATAGTAGCCCAGTTGGGGGAATGGGCCTTAGTGTCTAGTCCAGATTACCAAGGTTGGCCTGGGCCACATGGGATCTTTGTACTCAAGGGACGAGCGTTGAACTAAGAAGATAGGTGCACAGGTATCTGTTGAGCTTTTTCTTCCTATTACCAACTCAAACTATTGTAATTATAATATTACATAATATCATAAATTTATAATATAATATATCATTCTATAATTATTTTTTATTTAAAAATTTAATTATAATATTATGTATATTTATTTATTTAATATTATATTATAATTATACATGATATTATAATTATAGCATTATTGATTAATAAAATACTAAAATTATCATTTCTTCCTTTTCAATGCGTCCTGGTATACTTTCCTTGTAAAATTTATAAAGAGGATCCTTGACTTCTTGACGGTTGATACCTGCCTTGATTAATTGTTTAATAAAAGTTGTAAGGATCTGTAATTAGTACTGATGCATCACAATTCAAGGTGTAAGGCTGCAAGCAGTTGGGTCCATAAGAAATATATTCTAAAGCAATTAAGGAATGGGGACAATATTGTGTCTGGTTTACTTAAATTTATAAAGAAGTTATGCTTGACTTGCCACTTTTGTTTTCTTTAATTCGATCTTCGTCTACATATACAGCCACTCTACACCTGAATTTTTAATTTTCACCTGCACCTTGAGAGCAATTAAAGTAAGTTTAGCTTAATTAAAGCTTTGTCTTTCACTAATTCTCCATCTAAACTTATGCATTTAATTAGTTTAATCTGTTGCATTTAATACATTGTGTTCTTTAATAGTATCTGCTATCTAGTAAATTAACTTTGCTATCTACTAAATTAATTTTCAAATTGCTAGAGGTATATGTGTGTATATATATATATATAGAAATATATGATGAATGCAAGCAGTAGCCTAGATTATGATCATTAATTAATTTTCTATAAAAAAAAAAAATTAAGACATCCTGATATTAAAAATATCACAATGTCTAATAATATCTATATGATATATTTAATAAATTTAAAATTTACACTATACTTCACATATTTAATAATTATAATTAGATGTTCTGACAATTATAAGTAAATGTTCTAACATTTTAAATACCAAGACATTGTGATATTTTCTTATGTCCCTTTTCTATATAGTTTCTTAATTTCCATTTTTTAATAACATATTTCTTTTTGGTAAATTAAGTTCTTCGTTTTCTTTTTCTTGGAAAAAAACATTGAGCTATAAATAGTATAGAAATTGTACCCCATCGCTCTTTTATTCTGTATCATTCTCATGATATATTGTTTGATAGATCATCAACATTATGGCAATGAAAAATACTAGTTCTGCAACTATGATTGTCCCTCAACTTCTAGAAAGTGGCAATTATAAGAGTTGGAGCATTTTCATGGAAGACTATTTGATTTCTCAAGAGCTTTGGGATGGAATCATTGTTCCATTCGGCGCCGATCAACAGTTGTTTAGCGAATCTGAGCGAAGAAAAAGAAATGCTGCTGCTCTGAATGCCATTAAGATTTCATGCGGACCAGAAAGCTTTGTTCGTATAAAGTATACCCGTTCAGCAAAAGATGCTTTGGATATGTTAGCCAAAATGCATAAAACAGAACCTGAAACTGATGAAAGCACTCCAAAGGCAAGATTAGCATTTTCTTTTTCCTTTTGTACTCCCCCCTTCTTTGGGGATGTTTGGCTTTCAAAATTCAAATTAACTGGCCGCTTGTCATTCTAATAGTAATTTGTTGATATATGTGGTTAGATTAATTCTGCAAGTATGATTGTCCCTGTCCCTGAACTTCTAGCAAGTGACAATTATAAGAGATGGAGCATCTGTATGAAAAGCTATTTAGTTTCTCAAGATCTTTGGGATGCTGTTGTACACAGTTGTGCGCCAGCTGGAGTTGATACAAAGGAGTGGATTAAAAAAGATGCTGCTGCTCTGCATGCAATTCAGATTTCATGTGGACCAAAAAAATTTGATGTAATTGAGGAGATCAGTTCCGCCAAAACTGCTTGGAATACCTTGAAGCAAAAACATATAGAAAAGCATCCCGAAGATGGTCCTCCCCCTGCTTTGATTGATTTCCTGGAAGAGAAAGGTTTGCCACCTCTCATTCTCTCTCATCAATGGGTTTTTGCAGTGTGTTTTGGATTCTATAACATTTTTCTTCTATTATAGTCCCCTTAAGGGGCACTTAATGGATTTTTTTTTTTTTAATTCTTCGTACTAAAAGTATCTTCAAGGCCATTTGGTTAAGGTGGTAAACTTTTCCAATTGCTTTGTCCTTAACTGGATTTTTTAGGGCTAATTTAATATGTTTGGTCAAGGTGGGAACTTGTGTTTGTTCTCGACCGGACAAATCATTGTACATTTTCTTTATTTTTTAACTTTAATTATTTGTTCTACTCTATTT